GATGGAGCTTTCTCAGTGGTCCTGTTCCTCTCTTACATGTATAGGATCAGAGGATCTCTAATGATCTGATCCCTGGAAACTTGTCTTCTCCTCTCTTGTTTCCATCCCCTAACTGCAGTGACTTTTCACCTGTGCCCTGATGTTAACAGGGTCTGCCATTTTTGTTCTGTAGGAGGAGGATCCTAGTCTGTGCTGTGCTTTTCTGCAATGACTGCTGCTCTCCTCCCACAGGCCTGCATCACCAAGGGATGCTTTCTGCAGATCCTACTCTGCTCTCAGTCTTTCTTATGAGCATCTGATGGAGTCTATGAAAAGTCTGTTAGTGGGTACAAACTACCCTTGAGTTTCTGGCCCCCAGTAGCTCTATACGCTCATGCTAGCCTACCCTGACCCTTAGTAAATCAGTATATTTTAGTTGCATTCTTATTACCAGCTTGTTTGGGGCCTGACATCCCTTCCTTCTGTGTAAGAAAGCTCTCCTCCTTAGAGGCATTTATCTTTCCCTAGATTTCAGCCTGGTGAGTTTGCTCTGAGACCTCAGGTCTCTGATTAGTTAAGGAAAAGTTATGATTCTATGTATTATTCAGCTTTTCTTGAGTTTATGGTAGGAGTAATATTCTTTACATCTTTGTCTAAACAGAAACTGAAAACTCCTGTGTTATAAACATATTTTTCTGGTATGTACTTTGTTATCTCACACTTTATGGTATCTTTTGCTTACAGAATATTTTAATTTTAATATAGTCATATGTATTAATACTTTCCTTTATGAACTATGCTTTTGAAGTCAAGTTGAGAAGTCTCTCCTTATCCATAGTTCACAAATATGCCTTTTTCCTGAAAAGAACCAAAAAACAAAACTGAAGCTATATCCTCAAGTTTCTGTCCCTTACTTTGCAGATCATATCTCTTTTTCTATTTATCCCCTTCCTCTCATTACAGCAAAGATTAGCATCTAGATTTTTCCTTGCCCCAGCAATCATCCCCCTTTCTCCTTAATATTTGATTCCTCTTTTTCTCTCTTGGCTATGCCCTTTCAGCACTTAAATATGCTCAAGTATCCCCATTCTTAAAAAAAAAAAGCAGTCTCTTAACCCATTGATATTGTTTACTTGAGGAACATCAGCTAAAAGGAGTGAGGACATTGTTCCCTCACCACTTCCTCTGCTACTCTTCCCATCACTGCCAGTGCCTTTCCCTGCTAACTTCTCTTCCTGCTTCCTCAGATAGTTTGATGCCTTGAGGTTGAATCCTCAGTCCTCCTTCTCATGACATGCACTTGCTTTCAGTGACTTCATGCATTCTTTTGACTTCAACTATTAGCCAACGATTTCCAAAAATATATTTTCCAAACCTTAATATCTCTCCTGAGACTTAGACCCATGTGTACAACTGTTTTCTTAATATCTTAAGGCATCTCAGAAGCAAAATGGTTAAAACAAAACTTACCATTCTTAACTACAATTCCTTCTTTATGCTCCAGATAGTTTAATGGTCCATAATTTACTGGGTTTCACTTGAAATTTCTGTCTTTCATTATCTCAACTCTAATATCACATCTAATTCCATCACCAAGGCTAGGTAATTCTATTTAATAATTTTTTGAATCCAGATTCTCTTCTCTAGTTATCTGCTTGTATTTTGAAATACACACTTTTTGTTATTTAATTTTTCTAGAGTAATAAAATTACCTCCAAACAGATTGATTTCCTTATCAAGTTGCCCCCTTCTAGTATGTTATCTACTTTGACACCCAGTAAACTTTCTTTCTTTTTTTAAACTTTCTAAAAATCAAACATGATCATGTTGCTCTTCTGTTCAAGATATGTTTAATGTGGCTTATTTCTGCTTTAAGAATTAAGTTTGGTCTTCTGGCTGTCTATTTTAAATTTTTGTGTAGTATGTAAAAAACCTCAATCTATTCTTATGCAGGTTCTTTAAACCAAAAAATTTCCAGACAGACCTAGAGAAGGAACTACTGTACCTAACCATAACCATGGGTAAATGCTGTATTTCCCTGCTAGAAATGCTTGGTTTTATAGAATTTTGCTAGTGATGCAACTGATTCCTTTTGAGATCTGTGCCTTGGTATAGTATCAAATCTGAAATTCTTCCTCTAATGCAACAAAGATAGAATGAAAATGAATAGAGTTATAAGAAGTTGTCATGTAATCCTTATTTTGTTTATGTGTCTCCTTTCTCTCTGAAATTGAATTCATTTTTCAGTTTTGAATGGGTAGTTCGCTTAAAATGGAACCATGGTAATGAGCCTTTGTGGCATCTTACTTCAGCCCTCTCTACTCACCCCCAGATTATGTAAGTCACACAACCCACAGAGTTGGCATTTATTAATTATTCACCATTAGCATGATGGGTTATTAGTTTGCTAGGATTCATCCATATTGCCTTATTTAGGGCCCCTTTTCAATTTCTGAGATGACTGATCAGGATTAGGGGTTGGATCTTTGGTCAAGAAGTATAGTGAAGTTAACAAGCTTCTTGTATCCCAGTCCCATATACATTGCAGTCTTCCACACATATTACTCCACTAATGCTAAGGCATTTGTCATAGTTTCTTAAGAGAATGTGGTGTAATAAGTATATGTCTGTTCTTATTAGAAAAAAAAAACTTCCAAATGTAAATAGTCCAAAAAGGAAAGTAGAAAGCATTATCTTAATTCAAAATATAATTTTCTACCCCTATATGCCCTGCCCCGCTTCCTCCTCTCAACTTGTAACCACTAATTTGTTCTCTGTATCTGTTAGTCTGTTTCTTTTTTGTTATATTCACTAGTTTGCTGTATTGTTTAGATTGTACATGTAAGTGATATCATATGGTATTTGTCTTTCTCCACCTGACTTATTTCACTTAACGCAATACCCTCCAAGTTCATCTGTTGTTGCAAATGGCAAAATTTTATTCTTTTTAATGGCTGAGTAGTATTTCATTGTGTGTGTATGTATGTGTGTGTATCACATCATTTTTATCCATTCATCTTTTGATGGACCCTCAGGTTGCTTTCATATCTTGGCTATTGTAAGTAGTGCTGCTATGAACATTGAGGTGCATGTATATTTTCTAATTAGTGTTTTTGTTTTTCTTGGATATATACCCAGAAGTGGAATTGCTGAGTCATACGATACTTCTATTTTTAGTTTTTTTTGAGGAATCTCCATACTGTTTTCCATAGTGGCTACACTAATTTACCTTCCCATTAATAGCGTAGGAGGGCTTCCTTTTCTCCACATCCTCATTGATATTTGTTATTTGTGTAATTTTTGATGATAGCCATTCAGATGAGGTGATATCTCATTGTGGTTTTGATTTGCATTTCCCTGATGATTCGTGATGTTGAGCATCTTTTCATGTTCCTGTGTGTGATCTGTATTTTCTTTTTGGAAAAAATATCTATTCAGATCTTCTGCCCAGGTTTTAATTGGGTCGTTTGGTTTTTTGATACTGAGTTGTATGAGCTGTGTATATACTTTGAATATTAACCCCTTTTTGGGCAGATCATTTGCAAATATTTTTAACATTCAGTAGGTTGTCTTTCTGTTTTGTCAGTGGTTTATTTTCCTGTGCAAAAGCTTCTAATTTTAATTAGGTCCCATTGTTTATTTTTGCTTTTATTTCTAATATAGTTGTAGGAGATCAAGAGGTACAAACTATTATGTATAAAATAAGCTACAAAGATACATTGTACAAAACAGGGAATATGGCCAATATTTTATAACTATAAATGGAGTATAACCTTTAAAAATTGTGAATCACTATATTGTTTACCTGTAACATATAATATTGTACATCAGCTATAACTCAATAAAAATAAGTCAGATATAATTTCCAAATTGATGGATTTGGTCTTATTGATAGTGCAATGGTCCTTTACCCCAGAAAGTATTCCTAGTTGTATATTTGGAAGCCAATGTGTGTTTATCTGCAACTTTATTGTAATATTTTCTAAAGATTCAAGATGCTTTCTGGATTTAATTTTTGCCAGATGATATTTAAAAACTAGAGCCGAATTATAAATGAGACTGCTTTGTTAAGAACAACAAGTGAGTCTGTGGATTTGTGAAGTTGGAGACTAAATCAGTATTCCAAACCAAACTCGATTACTGCTATCTCATTAAATAGCATTGGGTAGACATTTAAAGATTTTTATACATTTTAATTCAGCTGGCAAGTTGATTTAAAACAACATTGATTTTTTCCTAATTCGTTCTTGGTCATGTATATCATGCTAAATATCAAAATGAATTTGAAGCTATTTGAGGCTGTCTGTGCAACAGAGTGTTAAATTCTTGGAGGCTTTCTTTCCCCATGCTAATTTGCATCATTTTGTCATGACTTTTATTTTCCTTAGAGCTTAATCTTTTTAGAATTATTATTCACTCTTTTCACCATATACCCCAATCATTAAACGATTAAAACTTTATTAAGCAGAGCAGCAAGAAACTCTTTGGATAATGATGAGGTTGGAAACTCCCTTGAACAACCTATTGGCTCATCTTGGAAGAAGAGTTTCATGCCAAATTATCTCCGTGTGCCCATGAATAATGCTTTAACAAGGGTGGATGGAGAGATGAGTGTAAAGGGCAATTCTAATGGAAGGAGTGATAGTAATATTCACCTTGGCAAAACATGCTGGTGCCTTGGCAAGATGGTACCTGCTCTTGTTGCTAATTTAGGTGCATATTAAGTTAGCAGCCCCTATAGCTGTCTGCTGTTTTACAAAATGAATTAGAAGAGAAAGAATAAACCTTTCAGGATTTAGAAGTCCCTCATATGACCATAAAATGACTGCACAGAGAATACCCCTTTAACCCAGACTTTATGGTACATCAATTGGGTGGGCTGGTTGTAATAATAAAAGTGGGATAGGCAGGAAGGAAATTCACATGAAGGTAGCCGTGGGCTCTACCTGACTTTAATTCTTTGCTTCATCCTGAATTCTGGAGTGACTGAGATGTTTGCTGCTGCTGTTTCCTTAGTGCAGAATTTCAGAGTGGGATATCCAGACTTTCGTGTGAAGATACGAGGAATCATTGGCAGTGACATTTGGGCGTGAACATTTGGAAGATTTAAAGAACTGAGATCATGGAAATCAAAGAGGAAGAAGCATCAGAAGAAGGCCAGCACTTTCTTCCCGCACCCCAGGCAAATGATCCTGGGGACTTTCAGTTCACAAGTGAGTGTGTGTTCACCCCCATATTAACCAACTTTTTTTCCTTTACACCATTTATTTCAGTGTTGTGAGTCTATGATATGCCTCCTTACTTAGATGGGGTAGATGATAGTCTATGAAATGGTTAAATATCAAATAGTAGAATCATAGTTCTTGAACGTGTGTTAAGACACTAAGTAGTTTTTAAGTACATTTTCTTTTTAATGTTTTTATAATCTCATGTGGAATTATTTTTTTTTTTAGAACCTAGAAATTTTCTCTTTAAAACCGAAGACAGTTAAGTTGAAAGCATTAGGGCACCGTGGTTTCACTAGATGCCCGACCGTCACTGCCACACCTGAGAGTGCTTAGTCACGTAAATAGAGCAAGCTTGGAGATTTGGCCAAGATTTGCATTTGAACATTAACTTTGGTTTTTGTGCTACTCCACTAATTAAAATCATCAGAAGAATTCTATGTTTTCTCTCATGCTTAAAATTCTAGAGCTTGGGTTTTATTGTTAAACGTAAGTTGTGTCTTTGTTGCTGAAAGATCGGCCCTGTCCCTGACTAGCCAAATTGAAACTCAGAGACGGGGTCTTGGAGCTTAGAAGAAAAAAGGCAGCTTTATTACTTTGCCAGGTGAAGAGGACTAACAGCAGGCTGGTGCCTTCACAACTGTGAGCCCACCTTGGGGGTAGGGTGGGGTTATATAGCCATGGCTTAAACAATAAAGCATAGATAACAATCAACAGAATCATTTTCTCATCAGAAGACTTACAGTGCCGTCATAATGTCTCCAGGCAACCAGTTCTGTAGAGGGTAGCGGTTGTCACTTTTTCGATCTCTTTATCTCCAAGCGCCCACGGCGTGGTCTTCTTGGTATTTTGTAAGGTTACAATTCTGTGACCTTCTCCCTGTTGAACAACTCAGAAGCCAAGTATAATTATTACTTTTGATTACTGGAATAAAGTGGAAAGAGTGAATTAATAGCTTTATTTTAACAACGGGTCTGGAGCTGTAAGTAGCAAGTGGTCAGTCAGGTCAGTTGACCATTTTAAGGGCAAGCATAAGAATAAGCGATTTGTTAGCCTCAATGTGGCTGTTTTATTAATTCTCCTTCATCTTATTTTTCTTTTCTTTTCAGTAGATTCCTGTTGCCCACTTATTTAACACAGGCAAACATATGCCTAACCTCTCATCTAATTTACATTCTAAAAATAATCTTTAGGAAATGGTATTGGTTGGATGCATTTTTTTGAGAAATTTGATTGTCAGAGCTTCCAGCAGAATTGTTAATAACTTTTTCAAAAATCCACACTCTTTGAGATTAACAAAGACCCTCCTAATGACTGTTACTTCAACCTCTCTCAGAAAGCCTAAAATTGTTAACCATAGCATTGTTAAATGTCAGCAGGAAAAAAAAATAAATGGTTACTGTACAAAAAAAATGTGAACTCTGTAAATTAAAAAACAGATGATTTTTATACAAAGAGGTGTTTCTAACAGTGTATTCATGACCAAATGCTAATAAACTTAAATTGTATCTGAATGCACCTGTGCAAATAAACAAGAAAATAATTTTTAAAATATTCTTACATTTACTGCACACTGGTTTACTTTTCCATAAATTTTAGTTCTGCTTCTTTGGGCAGCCAGGAGTTGGAACAAATGTCATCCCAGTCCTCATCCACTCTTGTTTAGGAAGCCCCTGCGCTGTGTGTGTGGTCTTTGAGAATCCACCTACCACATTATCACTTGCCACAGCCTTATCTTTCTAACTTCTAACCTTTAGATGTTCCCATCTCCTTACCTTTGTTCTGACTCACCCCCCCTACACTTCATCTTAAATTATTTAGCCATGTTTTTAATTGCCAAAGAAAGGAATAGACACATCTAACCAAATGCTGATTTGAGCTATCAGTAAGTTGACAGAGTAATCACCATCATGTTCCGTATAACCTAAGCAAAGATAGCCCTTTAATTAACAATTTACTATTAACACCAGGCTGAAGGGCCGTGAAAGAGAAATCAGTGTAAGAGAGGACTTTGGTGAGGTCCTCCTTTGTGAGGGTTCCATCTCTGTCTACATGTATCCAAAAGAAAGAGGAACAGTTGAAAAACATGTTTTATATTTGTCATGGCTTACAAAACCAATATTTCTGAGTTTTTTAATGGCTATGGAGAGAAATAGCTCAGTCGGATTTTTAGTCATATGTAGTTTTGCTATAATATCCTGCCCTGAGAACTAACTCCTTATGTGTAAGTCTGGAAAGTTATAACTGAGTTTATTTGTTCTGCTAAATACTGCATTTATACAGTCTGGGCAGGGTGAAAGTAATATATATTGACATATTTTTGATAACAAGTCCAATGTCTTTATTCTAAATGTGTTCCTACTATTCATAGGTATTCAGAAGTCTCCAAATGAACCACAGTTGGAATTCATCCTTGGTAAGGAATTCTATCATATTTATTTATAGCTATAAATTTTAGAGTCATTTGTACATATAGTTTACAACTTTAAGTTCGTTAGTTATATCATTATATATTTTGCAAGCTTTCATGAATACTGTTCTATAAGAAATCCATCTATAAGGTAAGTATTATTTCCCCCAATTTGTAAATAAAGAATCTGAGCTGTGGGGCAGGTCAGTTCATGACCAAGAATTGAGGGCTCAGTGGTGATGGAGTTGTGCCACTCAACCAGGTCTGCTGACTACAAATCCAGTGCCCGGCATTCATTCTAATAAAGTGACTGGATTTATTGCTAATCAACATTTCTCAAAGTCCATGTGTCTAATTATCTGCTCCTTGGGCTGGAGACTGGGATCATGTAAGTTTTCCTTTATCCTCCTTGGTGCCACTTTCAAAGTTTGTGCCTTTCAGTCTCATTCACTCAAAATTGTCCCCTAACTCTTCCGTCTTGATATTGTGGGGAGATTTTTGACATTTTGAGAATTTAATTCAAAGCTTTGACTTGCTTAAGCAACTCTAAAGATCTGTCACACGTAGAAATGTGTAGCTTTATCAAAGGATCAAGTAAAAATGTGCACCTTGAGGCTCGCCCACTTCTTAGTTAATGAGGAGGAGCTGCTTTTTGTTTAAATTGGGCATGACTGCAAAACGCCATTAAGGAATTAGCTGCAAAATGGTATTTAAAGAGGGTAGAAATATGGTTCACATGAACTATTTAGAGGGAGTATTTTTTTTCTCTCATGGTTCTGAAATATTTTGAAGGTTCACCAGTATCTTTACATTGTATCTGTAATGAAGTTTTTTTTGTTCTGAATGGAATTGTACATGCATGTATTCAATTTCATATGCAGACACCAGATACATTTTGGTATCCAAATCTTTAAATATTAGTATATATTTTTATAAGGTTATGAGCAAATTGAAATATATGCATTCATTGTCTCTAGTAGTTTTTAGTGGTTTGAAGTCCCAATTTAAAAACAATATATGTTTTCATTATATAATGAAATAAGTTTCAAATTTATATCCTTTGCTCAAAATACTACATTTTGAAGCATGTTTTGAACGTATTGAGATAATGACCATAATTTTCTGTTTTGTCTGTTTTCTCGTTTTTATAGACTTTATTTTTAAAGCAATTTCAGGTTCACATCAAAATTGAGCAGAAGGTTACAGAAATTTTCCATATAACTCCATCCCCACAAATGCATATCTTTCCCCATTTTCAACATCCCCTGCCAGACTGATACATTTGTTCCAGCTGATGAACTTACAGTGAGAGATTATTGTCACCCATTATTTATATTAGGGTTCAACCCTTTCTTTTGGGTTTGGACAATGTATAATGACACGTATCGATCATTGTAGTATCATACTTAGTGTGTTCACTGCTGTGAAAGTTGTCTGTGCTTTGCCAAGGCATCCCACCCTCTCCCCTAACCCCTGGCAACCACTGATCTTTTTACTGTCTCCATAGTTTTGCCTTTTCCAGAGTGTCAGACAGAATCATACAGAATGTAGCCCTTTCAGATTAGCTTCTTTCTTTTTATTTAATTTTTCTCCATATCTTTTCATGGCTTGATAGCTCACTTCTTTTTAGCATGGGTTGAATAATATTCCAGTGTATGGATGTACCACAGTTCATTTATCTAGTCACCGGCTGAAGGACATCTTGGTAACTTCCAAGTTTTAGTAATTATGAGTAAAGCTGCTAGAAACACCTGTGTACAAGCTTTTGTGTAGGCATTGGTTTTCACCATTTGGGGGGTAAATACCAAGGAGGCCAACTGCTGGATCATATGGTGAGAGTATGTTTAGTTTTGAGAGAAACTGTCAAACTCTCTTGCAAAGCGGCTGTACCACCGTGCTTTCCCACCAGCAGTATATAAGTTACTCCATGTCTTCACCAACATTTAGCATTGTCAGCATTCTGGTTTTCTGTATAACTCATTTTTTGAAACATTTTTTTTTGTAATAAATGTAGCTAAATGGTGCTGTAAGTTAAGAATTCTAGATTTTTTAGTTTTCCCAGGTATTGAGAAACAGACAGAAATGTGAAAACTCAGGAAGCTTCTGTGGTAACACCAATAAAACTATACTTTTTTTCTTTATTTTTCTAGAGCATTGTCAGATGTTGTCACATACAGAAAAAATTCGTTTTCAGAAAGGGAGCTGAGTAGCAAAGAAGGCCTGGGGCGCATTTTGACTCACTGACTGTAACTCTAGCTACTTGGGCCTCCATCTACCCATCTTTCTTTCTTTAAGAGAAGAAATTCATTTTTTACCTTTTTAGCAGGACTTCTGAAAAAATGAAGATTTGTTTGACTAATCCAGTGTATTTCAACACACAAATCACGCCTTCTTATTTGCATCTTGGAGAACAGAGAAATCTGAAGGGAGCAGAAGCAATTGGAGTGGAGGCTGTTGGTCAAACGTAGAGGCCAGCTCTCAAGAGACAGCATGTCTGGGCCAAATACCTCTCTTCTATTTCGATTAAAGTTAATCTATCTTGTCTAAAAACCTAACTATACTAGTTATTTTGAAATCAGAGTCAAGTTCAGGAGTAATGCTATTGTCGCTTACATTTCTGGCTTTGAATAGATCTAAGAGATGAGCAGCTGTGAGAATTTATTCATTATGAATATTCCTCCCATTAAAAAAACTTTGATATTCTTTTTTCACATGTATTCAAAAAATACACTAGAATTCCTAACAACAGGTAATTTTATTTTGTCATATGGCAAGAAAAGCCTGATGAATAAACCAGAGAAAGTTATTTAGCATCTTCAGGGAATTGTGTTGTTCATCCAGGAAAGTACTGTTTCGCAAACTGTTTGTTATGCTTGTAGCACTTTAAGATCCTCAACTGTACCATTTCTGGAAGATTTTTTTTTTAAACTACTCTTTCAAGGAGATTACAGCTAAACCCCTGTAGATTTCACTGTATATTTTAGTCATTTTTTTCTTTGAATTTTTTTAATCTCACAAATTATTCAAGACTTCAACTATTATGTAATTGGCTTCATTTCATAATTAATAAAGGGAGAATAATAGTTTCTTAAATATTTTTATCATTGTTTAAGAATGTGCATATTTATTTACTCAGAAAGCAAGCAAAGCATCTCTAAAAAATCTGGGAAAGAAAATAGAATAAGGTAACAGGCGTTTTTCCTACCTAATTTTCCAACTAAATTTTTTTTTTTATATATTTGATTCTTGATTTTTTTAACCAAAGTATTCAAGTATATTGCGAGTTTCAGTGGCCCTTCTTTTTAAATTGGGAAGACAGTCACACTCATTTTGTAGGTGTCCTATTGCTTTGTACAAGTTTTTTTTCTATCAGGGGTTTGCTTCTGCTTTGTCTGTATGCTGCTGTAAAATCACTCTATCTTGTTGAAGTTCCTCTGCTACATCTTTATTCAAGTAAATGAGGTAGGAGCGCTTAGTCAATTGAGCAAGCTAATTGGCTAAAAATTTCTTGATAGCACAAGATAAGCATGTACTGAAAAAAATGAGTATTGCTTGCCCATTGTCGACTGTCTTTCCAGCGGCTGACCGCATTTGAATTATGTCATTCACCTTTACACCTGCAACTGTGATTCCACGTGTCTTTCATTGTTTTACTTGAGTGTACTGATACCCTTTTTATCTTCACAAAGAGAAAAATAATTAAAAACCCAAGAGAACACAGATTTTTGCTTACAGTTTAATGAAATTGTTTTCATTTCAACAAAGCTGGCCTTTAAGAAGAGAGAGCACTTTTTACAATCTGGTTACAGCTCTTTCTTGAAAACATTGTGGAAAATTTATAGAGATGAATACTTGGGCAAAGATATGACAGGAAAGAAATTCCTATGAACCATTTCTTAAGTTTATCCCCCCCAATTATTTTTATAATGTTTACTGCCGTGTGCCTCCACTTTCTATCTCTGGAGTCAATAGAACATTTAGAAGAATGTGTTTTCATATGTTTATAATGGACACCACATATGCATCCAAAGCAATAGTCACCAGTGCATGTTAAGTACATAGGAGAGAATGGCATGTGTATGTGCATGTGGTCCTCGTGGTTTTTATTTGACACTATGAAGTCATATTCTTGGAATAACTTACACCTTGATGACTGATACCTAATGGAAGCCAAGAGACCAGATACAGGGTCGAAGTACATTTCTTATGTGTCGAAGCACATTTCTTATGTGTCAGCAGCCTCATGTCAGTTATGATAGGAATGTGGGGACATAGAGGCTGGAGTGAAGTCTAACAAGTACAAGTCATTCATTCATCTCAATTGTGTTGAGAGCATAGAAAACTTATAAATAAAATAACTTTAGATAGTGTTAAGTTCTATGTAGACAGAAACAGGGGAACTATATAGAACGTGCCTGGGGTAGAGGTAGTTGACTTGGGGAACGGAGGGACTGTTTTGGATATAGAAGGGCAAGGAAGGCCTCTTTGTGTCCAGAGGGACTTATGCAGGTGGCTGGAGTAGATACTTACACAGCCGGTATTAGGGTCGTAAGAATGGAAATACTGGGATTTGGGGGTTGTCAGTCAGGTTGCTGGTTTGATCAGACATGAGACTAAGTTATGAGTTGATCTGGTCTCATAGTAAAAAGGGAAATGGTGAATAGTGAAGGGCCTTCTGCTGGACTACCGGAATGCCAAGGTCAAAGGAGGACAATAGTAGGGTAGAAGAGGGGCTGAGCCAGTGAGATCGCAGCCCCAGGGCCCCACTGGTCTCCCTCCCCGTCACCTATACCTAACCTCGCACAGTAGCGTCAGCCCTGCTGCTTGCGTGTTGCTGAGACTCTAGTGAGTAAAGGACAGAGAGAGATGGGATTCAAAGCCAACTTCTTGTTAGATCCTTTGCCTTTCGTGAAGCTGTATTATCTTCTAAGCATCAGTATATAAACTTATGGAATGATTTTTTTTTAGGAGACCTTTTCCTCTTGAATTGAAAAATGCAGCAATTC